TCATCGTTGCACCAAGATCCAGTCCTAGATTAATAACCCGGCATATGGCTACTGTGCATTTCTCARGATTAAGATGAAAAAAGTCCATCACAGCAGCTCATGACCAGCACTCCTCAATGCTCAGCAGACGCACCAGCTCATCTGAGATTGGAAAGGCGCAAAGGATCCTATGTTTGACATGGACACGAGTCTGAGAAACTCCAGAGCTGACCATGAAGGGAAGTAGGGAGAAGAGGGAGTAGAAGAACCTATATGAGCATCACTGAGCTGCTGGGGAAGGTCCAGACGTTTCTGTGAAAGTTCCATCCTCAGCGTTAGGCCAACATCTCCTTACRCTAGGAAACAGTTGTTTTTATTAAATCAAAGTCCTAACTGTGCAGCAATAATGTAGAAATCAAGCCCTGAGACTAGGCTCACCTAGGAAAACATTATTTTAAATTTAGAAAAATCAAATCTAGATTAAACATAGAAAAAAACAGGATTTAAAATGATCCACGAGCCATGCTAAAAGGAAAAACTACTATACCATTTAAGAACTATTCCTTTTCATTTATCCATAAGGAAGATTCATCTGTTACTTGAAACCAAATCACTTGCATAAGCATATTCGAGGAAACAGGATGCTTAAGGATCTTACCATACTGAAATCAYTTATTGGAAAGTTTTTTTCTGTGTGATGAAAAGAATTTAGTTCTCTATTTAGAAAATGTAGGTTTCCTCAATTTATCACCAGGACAGATAGAGCAGTTTCCGTATCTAGCTGTTGTCACATAGTAGACAAATTCCTGAACGGAAAACGCACGGTGTGATCACAAGAATGACAACTGCAAAAATCTGTTTCTTATTAGTAGATGAAAACTAAGTAGTTTTCTCGGAATACCTTTAATGACCTACAAATTGAGCACAACACAAAACATCAAATAGAGCTGAAAGGGATGAATAACTAAACAGGTCTTGCAACTTTACACAGATCTCAAACTCCTGCTGCAGATTGGCCAAAGATTCTGGGCGGGCTGGGGCAAGGGAAGGAGGAGAAGAAAAGCCCCTAAGACTCTGTCTAGCAACAGAGTTGGCACCATAAGCACCGAGATCCGCAGCGCTGGCACACAGCACTACCAAGCAGGTAACTTAAAAATCAGTCATGATTTTAAGGAGAAAAACAACACAAACACACACACACCACAAAATGTATCTTTTTGAGAACTCTGATAATCTGTCAGACCGTAACTTTTTTCACTAAATTCTGCCTGGTCTCTGCTATATTGAATGGACACAGAAGAACTTCTGGTCAACAGCTCTGATGAGCTTCATGCTGCTGCAGGGAGTTTTTCTGCTTCTAGTTCAGAGGAAGGAAGGGTGGTAAAAAGAAGGGCAATTAAGATTGAGGAAAGGTTATTTCATACAACTTCAAKCATCTACAAAATTGGCATGGATTTCTGCTAATTAAATTTGGAGAAAAACTGCTTTACAGAGGAAATCCTTAAAAAAAMCAGGGAACTTAAGCTCTACAGTATCAACAAAGCTATCGTTACAAAAGCTTGAACTAGAATCCTCAAAAGCAAGCGTGACTATATCTTGAAGCTTTTTATTAATATTATTGACATTGCCTAATGCTTCCTATCATCCTATCACCTTCGGTGGCTTACTGCAGCTTCCCTGTTTGGGGCTGATTTCATATACTGGGTAGCTACCTCAAAAAATTCTTCGGAGTTGAGACTGTTCTAGGAAAGTAAATGTCCAAGAAAAGGTATGCCCCTCCTATTTTAAAAATAAACAAACCTGCCAACCTTACAGAAGTACAGATAAATTTAGTCCGGTTATAAATCCCTGAGAGGAGGGGAAATAAAGCAAAAACACAACAGAAAACAAGTGCCCCCCCCTCCCCCCCCTTCACTCACACACACAACTTTAGGTTCGTGGGTTTAAGTAACGATCTGGACAGACTAAGTTCTCTAAAGATTCAGCCTGGGCCTTTTGGATGACTGTGGGAGCAGCGAGCTCTGCCCAAACGCACATACCCCGTGCTCGCTCCCTTAACCCACCCAGAGCCCCTGTATCGCGCTGGCAACACAGGCCACGAAGGCCTCGTGCCGGGTGGCCTTTGGAGGCACCGGGGAGCTGAAGGAGGAAGAACAAGGTCGGGGTGAGTGCAGGGGCACCATGTGCCAGGCCTGTCTCAAGGAGGCCTCTGTCCCTGCCTGGTGGCTCTCGRCTCTCTCATGTCCAGCTCCCCTTTAGCTGAGGCCAAGGGCCCTCCTGCCCACGGTGCCCGTTCCCAGGCGGGCCGTGCTCCCAGGCGGGCCTTGCCAGGGGATCCCTGCTGAGCACACAGCACAGACAGACTCCGGGCGTTCCGCAAGGAAACCGGCATGCRCAGATTGGAAGCTTTCAAAATGGGAACTGGCTGAATTTTGGCAGATTATCATATAAAAAAATGAAACGCTGCAACTCTGCCAGGGGTCATCTGCTGACAAATTTCGAGCCCATGTTCCAGTTCAGAGGTACACTAGCATATTTCAAAGAAAAGCTGCCATAAAAGAATGGAACAGACCATTATTCTAGTTTTGTTTCTGGAAACAGATGAACAATTCTGGCTGAAAGCTTTAAACAAAATTAAATCCAAGGCAAAGATAAAGCATAAATTATGCCAGACCCAAAAGACTGCAGTTCAGCAAAGTTATAAACAACTGAATACAGCATCTTTTAAAATTTTCTAAGGCTTCCTATTTTTAATGGAAATAAGAGATGAAGGAAGAACACCAAGGGGAACAAGGACTCCTGTATTAAMCCCCATTCTCAGCTATGTACTTTGCTACAGCAATTTACAGCAGTGCAACAAAATGAAACACTTTGGCAGCGATGCAGAACCACATCACTCAAATAGCCCATGTAAAGTTGGCAAACTGACAGATGAGCAACTACATTCTTTGAGATTTGTGCAATGGCCAATGTCATGTTCAGTGAAATGACTGAGAAACTGGACCTAGCAAACCAAGGGGAAAAAAAACCTACCCTCCYCTCCAAAAATTCCAGCTATTCATTTGTTTACCGAGTACACAAAGACAATGAGAGATCAGGTAACACGTGAGCCCTTTTCACCATCTCAATTTCCTCTGGCCAACGTCACTACGCAGAGGATGGTGCTGACCTCAGCAAGCCTCAGAGATACCACGCAGGCTCTGGAGACCTGTGGCACTGAACGATCTCGTCCATTCTGAGAAGAGTGAGGAGCAGAGGGGAAGGAGAGAACCAAGCGACACAGACATACGCAGAAGACAACAACCCTGAAGACCAGGGAAGGCTTTTCAGACARTCTGGAAAGGAAAATGAACCCTACCACCAAGCTAAAAAATGAAAAAAATAAGATGACCAGGTGCATTTTCTTCATTCTTCTGACTGTGTTCAGATCAGTCCTGAATATCGTATTTAGCTTGAAGTCATACACAAATAAAAACAGGAATAACCAAGGTTACCAGCTTTTCTGCTTCCAGTTTCCATTGCTCAGTTTCCACTGCGGTCAACTTAAAGCTTTCAGAAGTATCACAGAATTAAAAAGAGAACACACTGCTTGCAGCCAAGCTATAATTGGAAGTACTCTCGCACACAGATAGGCCTGGTCCAAAGTTATCATTTCTTCCAAATACTGCTTGACTGCTTTGTTGGGTTTAGGAATTTTTTTTTGTATGGCTGGTTTGTTTATAAAGCAATTTGTGCATTTTGATTTGTTTTTCCATGTTCACGTGACTTCTGCCACACAGAGGTCGTGAGGGGGTGGAAGATGCAGAGAGGCAGGAGCCTGAGGGGCAGAACCAGCACCACGTTAGAGCCCAGCGAGGCKGCACCCTTTCAGTGCCATCACTGGTGCTTGTGGGGCCCCTGACAAGCCCCAGCTCTGGGCCAGCCCTCCACACACACACGGGACTTGACTCCCTGCCCTTCTCCCCCACATTTTGCAACACACTTCTTTGCTGCTGCTCCTCCTCACACACGCACCTCCACCTGCTTGCTGTCTGCCCCTGCCTAAGCTTATAAATCACAGCTCAGTCCCAGCTATGCACTGCCCGGGTATAACGCATTAAATGTAGGCCTGCAGGCCTTTCTGACTAGTAATCCTCTACATGCATGTACACAAGCCCCAGCGTTAGCTTCTGTGTTAGAAAGACGCAGTTACAAATCACATTTCAATACCCATCCTGTGATAGGCATCCCAGGATTCAGATACCCATCTGCAAAGTCAAGAAGTCATCATCAAGAATCTCCCACCAAAGCTTCAGAAGGCATTAGTGATACAAGTACCTTCTAACAGAAGAAGCTATTATCAATAACCCTCCAAAGATMACACCAAAATTTCCAAAACCTGCTAAAGTACAATCTCTTCCTATCAGTAAGCTAAATACATGAGTCAATTCCAAAATCAGAGAATGATGGCAACAAATATATACGCACAACAAACTTAAGTGGCATGGGCCTAAGCACTGGATGGATCTTTAGATAAAGAGAATTGTAAATGGAGCTAAACTGCACCCTGTGCCAGGGGGAGAGCCTTGCATAAAGCCCTGCTCCCAGTTTGGTTTCCATCACTGTCCCAAATCCAACACCAGGGTTTTTGCCAACAGAGCAGCCTATACAGTGGAGTGGCAGCTAAAACTGAACCTCAGGGTTTCAAATGGTGAAACAACCACAGTGAAGATCAAGGCTCCTTTTCCCTCTCTCTAACAAACTCTGCTGCATTCAAGGCATTTCTCTCTGGAACCCCTCCTAATGCTTATAAGAGAACTGCACACTGACTTTCAGGAGAAACTACTGCAGGAAAACACCTCTCAGAGCAGAGGCATCAGCCAACTACTGCTACATGCCACGCCACAGCACACTGCAGAGCAATGCTCCTTCCTCCGAGCCTCTCCAGCCACCACGCACTGCTCGAGACAGCAGGGCCTGAGAGAAAATGCTACCAGCTAAGTGATCTAGAGGCATCTTCTAGAATCAACAACTGTTATTACCTTATTATTACTTTACTGTCCTCTCCGAATTCAGAGCAAGTCGGAAAAAGACATGGGACCATATTTTACAGATGACATCCTCACTGTCGGCAGGAAGCTTGAAATTGAAAAAAAGAAAAAAAGTAAAATTTGATAGGAGCAATTTTGCAAGTTAGCTGTATCTCAATAACCTTCTCACTATATTAAATCAAACTTGTATATCCTTGAGCAATAACTCACAGCAGACCTGCAAATTAGTCAGTAACAGTTCTGCAAACCTTACTAGTGCATACCCCTCTTTGGCAGAAAACACATTTTTGGACTCAGGTTTTTGTCAAATTAATCTACAGTTGCATTCTTCATAGAAAGACTGCTGGAAAAACTCAAATTGCTGGAAACATGAACTGTAATTACTGACCCTCATCAAGTCAGCCAATATTAAATTGCAAAGTAGTTTTTTTGGCATTAAAGCTATAACCTAATCGTACAAAGAGTGAGTTGGGGAGCAAGAGAGCAAATGAAGCCCATTTGTGACAACTCAGAAAATGAGATATGAGCAGTGAATTTATGGGGAGAGGGAGAAAATGAATCCTGAACATGAGTAACCACTCTCTAGATTTGCACTGCATGACAAAAAAGCTAAACTAATTCTTTCCACATCTCTGCTATGCCAAAGATTTGTCAAACATTAAGCATAATATTCAAACAGTGGGATATAATTCTATCAAATTTTGTAGTAATGAACAAACTGTAAACCACAGCTGCACCACATTTTTCTACTTACATAACAATATTCTCCTTTCTCCAGAATTTCCAGGTTCACTATTCACTTTTGTTATTTGGGATTTGCATAGAAGAAAMATTTTAAGTGCCTTTACATTTCCTGGCAAAACAAAAAATGCCATTACAGATGTTCCATTAAGACATTTGTGTGAAATTATACATGCCCCTGTCAAATATGAAACTCTTACTATAGGCTTTAAAGCACATAAAGCAGCTGACAGATTCCTGAACTACATATGGGCAAACTGTTAGCAAGCCACTGTACTTCTTAGCAGTGTTAAAATGCTTATCACAGTACAAAATTGATTCACCTCTCAAATTTGAGACAAGTTTAAGAATTACAGAATTAATTCCAAGGCTAAGTGAATCACTTCCAGTCTCTGTTTCTACTGCTGCCCAATAGCAGGAAAATAAAGCAGTTACCCACACAAACACTGCAATTTCATAGTATTACATTTTCTGAGTTTAGAAGCAAGAACTTTCAGAACTAAGACCACAGTCAGTCACTCATTTCTTGTGATCAACAAATGAAGTGGCATTACAAATCTTCAGCTTATGGATGGTCATCTATCACACTCAACATGGATGCATTTTCTCTTCAAATAGGCCAACTGTRTTGTTGAAAAGAGATGCAGTTCCTCTACAGTTCATTCCCAATGAGGATATCCAAACATCAGCTACGCACAAAAGGAAAAAAAAAATAAACAACAAAAAAACCCAGACAAGTACAAGGAAAAAGCAACAAAGAAACAAAAATCCCCACAGAGATAGTGGTCTTGGGGAAGGGAAGACCCCAACAGTACAAAACAGTTTACAAACTTTCAAACCACTCAAGTTAGCCTAGATGGAGGCATTGGAAACTAGTTTCTAGACCCAACCTGGCAACATATTTCTAAGCTTAATCAATGAAAAGTCAGTTCTGCCTGGCTTGCCTACGTTTCTCTGGTCTACAGCAGAACAAAATGTCCTTTCAGCTCCAAATTCAAGTGTCATACTAAACCCCAAGCCCAAGTCTTAACTGAAAATACAAAAAGACAATTGCTGCTTTTCAGAAACAAACAAACAAACAAAAAAAAAGGGTCCTTCACCTCGTATTTATTCTATTCATGACTGGGTGCTAGGCAAATATCAAAATAAAAACTTATTCAACGCTGCGGTCATCAGTCATCCACTTGAACAACTCAGATTTAGCTGAGAGCATTACTTGACAGTCTTTGAATTTTAGTCACACTCCTTCTGACAAAAACATTAAAAATCCTTTAACAGATGCTTCACTCCCAAAGGAGATTGAGAGAACAAAACCACGTCATATGCATATAGGACTGATACTCCCACAGACAAAAAATGCTAAAATCCTCCAACAGATGCTTCAGGCACCAAGGAACTTGAGAACAAAACCTTTCCATCTATACATAAAAATTGACACTGGTCAATTCAGACTCAGAGAAGACAATTTTCACCCTCATAACAGTACAGTTATTTCAGTATTATAAAAAYTAAAACTTTTAAGCTGACAAATGCACAGGTTTTCCCTTTGCTGCTTCAGCAAAGAGTATTTCAGCAGGCCAATTTGCAAGAGCTTTTGTACCTATTCAAATAAATTCTACTAGAATCCAATTCAATCAATACAAAGAAACCACTAGTTTATAAACTACCTTGTTGATGTACAGAACTTTAAGTATCAACTAAAATTTTTAAACTACTGCAAAATACTGCATAAAAATAAGGAACTCATGGATTCACATGGATTTTACCAGTGCACAATATATTAACCTTCCAAAATACAGATTTTCTCAAAAAATGTTCCGTTGAACGTCACTTCAGMAGTCAATGTAGCTTACCCAAGGAGCCAGCCAGTGTCATAATTCAACACGGCTTTCAGCATCTAAGGCAGGTTTTTAAAAAGACAAAATTTGGATAGTTTTGTCAACAGGTTTTTTTTAAACCGCCCTATAAGCTAACAAAGCCAGCAAGTACCACCTCGGCCTGGCCTGTTGGAGGGTCACTTGGTTAATGACCATTGAGACCCATACGTGTTGCGTAGGAGAGTACAAGGACAGGTGAGGTATTTAATAACACAAGTCCAATATTCTCTTCCTGTGTCAGTATTTTGCAATTCGGGCACTTTCAAACTCAGAGGTAAGTACCTTTGTATTCTCCAAGATCACATTAACATCAACACATCTCTTAGCAGACCCCGTTCACTTGCCTTACATTTGCGACTTCCAGTAAGAGAAGCTCTACTGTCAAGTTGCTTGTCTTCCTTCAGAGACAAGACATCCAGATTTTAAGATATTTATAGAGCAACTTCTTTGGTAGATGAAGCACCCACACTTTTAAAGACACAACCAGCCTGATACTAAAACTGTCGATCCAATCCAACACATTTGTCGCCAATCTTTCAAGGAATGTCAAATGACCAAAAGGGTGGAAGTCACCACCTAAGCACCAACTAGAGCTTCCCAAAATGGACAGCGAGATCCTAACAGAGCAGGAGCTCGGTTTGCCGGAGCCAAGGGGCTATTTTCGTACATTAAAGGTGCAACTAGATGAGACAGGTTTAAGGGATAACAAATCACTGCAATCCAAAGGAGGGTAAGAGGGGCCTCATCACCCCTTTCCCTGTGGAGCAGTCCACTCTCCAGCCATCTCGTTGGCACCTCCGTGAGCTCACCAAACCAGGGTAGCATCTCCCCTCCATTGKGATGATCATCTCTGCAGCCTTGGCTAAATGCTGCTTGAGTGGGTTAAATGAAGTGGTTGGATAACAAGTTGAAAAACTGCTTGACTGCTTGCAAATACAGAGCTATTCTCCCCCCTTCCAAGGAAGAGGCAAGAACAATGAATGAGAAATGCTATCTCCCAAGTCTAAAATATTGCAGGATACAAGTGAATGGAACCTTTTATTGAGCTAATTTTAAATGGAAAATGTGTTTTGATAAAATCACTGGGTTTACTACTCATCCAGTGCATCTGAAGTACACATCAATTTTAAAATGCTATTTGTGTATTTAATTGAATTTTAATATCTATCCAAGTGACGTGTAACTTGAGTTAAAAAAAGATAATTTGCCATTCCTTAACAGAAATGTGAACATTAAAGATATGAGAAATAAAACAAAGCATAAATTAAGCAGTATAAATGCTTAACTAAAGCTATCACACACAGATTGCAAGCCACCAAAGCCAACTGAAGATTAAAGATAATTTGTAAGCCAAGACTCATTCATTTTATGCATATGCTATTTCAAAAGGGTAAGAATCCTCTTATTATATTAGCGGAATGATAAAATACCTCCTCCTCCATAAAGGCCACACAAAATCCAAACCTTCTCCAAATCCTAAACTTAGTAAAAGGGTACTTTTCCATTCAGCAAACTGGGCAATGAATCAAGCTCTACCTCAAAGCCACAATGGAAACAAAACCCAAAACCTAAAGCAGACAGGTATAAAAGCAGGTGTACCAAAGCAGACAGAATTCAAAGCATCCAGAGTTTAAAATATTACAAAGACTGAGCTCATGGTGTTCAATTTCTTTCCAAGARGCAGGGTATTCAGGAGCCTGTCCTACTAGACATGCTCTTACACAAAGTCTCATCTTATCTAGCCAAGTTTCTTAAGAAAATTAAGTCAAACTGCTACAAACAATCTCTACCATCTAAATTTTGCTATTTGTTCTTAAGGCCAAATAACATATGAGACAATTGAGACAATCTTGATTAGCTTTTATTGTCATTTTCATCAAGTCTACCTAATTCATTCAACTGCACTCCTGAGCTCCTATTAAGTTAATGGAATTATTTACAAGGTGCTAAGTACCAGGTCCTTTTATCTCAGAATTACAATTCCTAATCCTATGATTAACATGTAGGTTTTAAGCTATGAGACCCAAATGATTTCATCTATGTATCAGACTGACTTTTGAATTACTAATTCGTTCTGCAGAAGAGGTTTTTTTATATATAATATATTTATTTATATATTATTATATATTATAATTATTATATATATTCAAAATTATATATATATACACAAAATATATATAATATATTATTATATATAATTATATATATTATTTATATATAAATCAGATTTAGTATTACAGTATTACTACTATATTTAGGTGGATTTTTTTTGACAATCTCTGAAGTTCCACCTTAGTAAATATACTCCAATCAACACTTCCAAACACAATAAAAACTTCAGGCTATAAGAAATTGGTGCTCATAGTAACAACYTTACAATAATAAGCAGTATAACAATATTCTAAGAGTGCTCCATGCACCTTCAAAAGGGATAGAAACATGTATTATGAAAACCTCATGTTAACATATAGACCTTATGTGGTTCACCGAAATTTAGCTTCGTATTACACACTRCACAGACCCAAAACTTCACATGATGATAACACATCAGTTGATAACACAGTATATAACTGAGCAATATCCAGATAGTTGGGACCATGCCTTACATGGCCATATAAAGAAAATCCTACAGAGCCATCAAAGAAATATTACTTATCTGGGCAGCCTCCATCTCTCCCCAYCTTCTTATCCCAATCTTTCAAAGAAAGGCTTTAAATGCTGTGCAGCTGTCCAGCACTAAGGCTGAAGAATTCAGCAACGAGGCTGTGTAGAAGCAGAGGCAAGAAAGAATCTCCCACCATGTTCCCCAGGAATCTGTGAGCAGCTAGAGGCACAGAAGAGGCTCCCCACTGCAAATTACCTCAACAAAACACGCATAAGGCTTCAAGAGCAGATAAACCTGTAAAATTCCTTTTTCCTTCTGCTTTCCAGATAATTCGTCAAAGAAGTTTCGACTGTATAAACTATCACAGCCTGTGCGTAACTACACAGAGTTTTAGCCAACCTCTCTTCCAGGCAAAAATACCAAGCACCACCACTGCACACATTTTCTTACTGAGACTTTCAGAAGGTCTGCATAATCTTAGACCCGTGAAGTTAGTGAGCCATTTTGTATTTCCTGAARCTAAACTGCACATTAGATGATTCACCAATTAGTGTATTCATGAAGCTTTAAAAGAAAAAAGCTACCAAAATTTCATTTTTGTTGAAAAATTTAACAGAGATGTCCAGCTGTATGCATGGA